TAAGACACATGACAAGAATTGGTGACTGCGGTCATTCGCAACATGAGTCGCGCTACCTTAATAGATAGATGAAAAGGGTGTTACATGAGGATAATTGGGGGTAAGGTAAAAAAAAAGGCATAGCAGAGTTAGACCCAGCGGGGAGTAACTCTATTATACAAAAAAACTCCTCAACATAGAAGCACAAACAGCACAGATACAAAACATCAGAGTCCGATGGGGAGGCAGGGTTGGGCGGGATCCTGACGCCTCCAACGGGAGCTGCCAGTACGGCGCATCAACCAGCTGCAGACCAACAAGTGGGAGGGAGTGATAAGGAACAGAGAGCACATTGAGTTTCCCGCAGGTCGCTGACCTCAGCAGGAGTCACAATCTGAAGGCCGGGGGGGAAGGTCGGGACACAGCATCTGTGAGCATTCCTCCTTTCGTGGGGGAGTGTTGAGCAGCCTTGAGAGGCTGCCTTGGCGTCAGATAAGGATAAACATGACTTTGTTTGGGGCAGGCAGAGATAATTTTCCTCTCTGCCTTGGAGTCTCTAAGTGGTCATTCATGTCCACCAGTGAAGCAATTATACGTTCTAAACATCCCCACATCGTCCGGTGACCTTCTCCGAGATGAAATCCATCTTGCGCACTAACACAGGCAACGCCGCGAGGACATTGTCCAGCTTACGGTTCACCTCGAGTAACGTCCCAGTTGGACCAGTACACACACAGATGCATGAATGTGGATGATTCCACATAGAGCAGGTTCACCCTGAAGCTCTAGCTGCTGGTTTACTTTTCCTAACTGAGACCAGGAAGTTCACTTTGGGCTCTTTTCTTGTTGTTTCTAGTCAAACCTACAAGTCCTCGAGTCTGGAACCTCACCCTTGATTCAGAGTCGAACCAGGTTGTGATTTATATCGCGATTCTTCAGGAAGACTACCTGACGTTGGAAAAACTCTTCTTTCAGATGCACATCTGGACCGATGGGTTCGCTCTGGTAAGGATCAGAAACGTAGTTCAGCTTTTCTCCACCGTTACAGATGTTTGGAAATAACTTTGCCGTTTTTCCGTCCAGATTCAGAACATCTCATCGCAGAATGTCATCCAGATCAGCACGCAACATCTGCACCAGAGGTCACCGTATCACGTGAAAGTCCGAGCAATCCCTCAGGGTTATCTGCAGGGGACCTGGAGCGAGTGGAGTGAGACGTCGAGCCTCACTCTTCCTGGTGAGAACATCAGTGCAACCCTGCAGCAGCTGCAGCTGTGAAACAAGCTGAAGCTGCTGCGTGGTTGTTGGCACTGTTGCCTCGCAGCAAGAAGGTTGCTGGTTCAAAACTCGGTTGCGGTCTTTCTGCGGAGCTGCCTGTTCTCTCCGTGCATGCGTGTTTCCTCCGGTACTCCGGTTTCCCCACAGATCAAACACACCCTGTAGGTTAACAGTTGTGCGTCACTTCAGATAAAAGCGTCTGCAAATAAATAAACATAAACATAAACAAGGCGTGACGACCTGTTTCCTGTTTTTCAGAGGACGAGGAGCCAACGAGGATGGATAAATGGCAGGCGCCGGTGTACAGCGTGTGTTTTATCGCCCTTGGGGTTGTGATGTCCATCCTCGCCGTCTTGTGGAAAAACAGGTAGGACCTTTTGTTTGTTGAGGTCCAGGAGGTCTCTGCCTACTGATGGATCCGTTCTTTCTTCTCAGAATATTCACCTACATGTGGCCAAACATCCCTCATCCCAAGCAGACTCTGGTGCAGATCTGCAGGCCAAATAAAGTGAGTTCTACTGGAGCTGCCTGGCGCCATCATCATCTCACTTACAGGTCAACATCTAATGAGGCCCCAACGCCAAACTGCGGTTGTTTTTCAGGGTTTCCTGCTGAACCTGAACCCTGAGGTGTTCAGTTCTCTGAAGGTCTACCCTCTGGAGAAAACGGATGAAGCGGGCTCCAGCCAGAGCTCCGACTGCACGAGCACCACTAGTGTCAGTACGGAGGAGCTGGAGGTTTCAGCCCTGCTGAGGAGGAGCTGCTCTGATGGTGAGGACAGCCTCCAAACCCCACCTGTGTCCAGCTTCCTGCATCAGGAGGAGGCACCTTCTACATCTCAGTCTGAACAGAGCATGGTGGAAAACAGAGTGGAGTGTGGAATCAATCAGCAGGAGGAGGCGTACGTCACCATGTCCAGCTTTTCCCAGATCAAGTAGCAGCAGCGGACTACGACTGGACCCTGAGTCTGGGAGCTACCTGCAGGTAGACGTCCCTCACCTGTTAAGCTGCTGGATGGATGCTAGTGAAGGTGGAAGAGGTTGGAAACATTTATTTGAGCTTTTCCGTGGAGTTCCTGTTGACCAGGTTAAGGAACGCAGGACTTTGATCCCACTGATCCTGAACCATGGTTGTTTAGACTTTCTGAAGCCTAAGAGTGAGAACATTTGGGTCCTTCCAGTCTAAACTAAAACAAAAAAGAGCTTCAGGACACTTCTGCACCCCTCACCATGTCTTTGTTCCTCTGCATGGTCTTCCACGATGCTTCCTAAGACATCTGTAGTAGATAGACATCCTAACATCTGTCAGCCCTGCCCACCTCCTGTCCACAACCTAGGACCTTGATAAAGAAATAAGTCTTTGAACTTCAAGTTATTCCCATCAGTCTGCAGTGTTGGGATGGTTCTGCTTCGGGTTTTACTTCCCATTCAAGTTTATTTCTAAAGCATCACGTCAGGACCTTCACACAGTAAACATTCCAGTATAAGTCAGGTCATTAAGCCAATCAGTAACAAGTTTCCTGTATAAGGGACCCAGCAGGTTGCATCGAGTCATTGACTAGTGACAGTCTTGTCAGCAATCCTCATACTAAGCAAGCATGCAGCGACAGTGGAGAGGAAAACTCCCTTTTAACAGGAAGAAACCTCCAGAGGATACTGGCTCAGAATAAGCAGCCATCCTCCACGACTCACTGGGGATGGAGAAGACAGAGCAGACACGCACGCACGCACGCACACACACACACACACACACACACACACACACACACACACACACACTTACGAATATTGAAGCTCCCTCAAGGGCCTGTGTGTAACTAACCCTAACCCAAAGGCAGGTCAGAACTTCCTACAGTACCGTTGGTGAAGGTTGTCAGACATCCAGGTCTTGGTAATCACCTCCAGCACCAACCCAAACACATGCGAGTCCTTCTGATGAACATGAAGAACATCGAGGACACGTTTGTAAGACAGAAACCACCCAAGGCCCTGTACCCCCACTAGAACCACCGGAAAGAACTCCCATCTCCTCTGTGAACGGTTCTTCATGCTGCTCATTTCTGAAGTCATCAGACGGACCTCCTGAAGCTGCTGAGTCATCTGCAGTGCTGCTTCTGATGTGTTGCCATGGCAACACTCGCTAAATGAATCTTGTATTTAGTTGGTTGCCACAGAGACACCAGACACATCACTGCTGCTAAAGTCTCAGACAGGGCCTTTTTTATGTAGCTGGTTGAAGTCCATCCGTACATGAACAATGATCTGAACGCACGTTTGTCATTTAACCACAGCTTGCTTTTAATTACAATAAAGTATTTATATATATGTACATGTAATAAAGTAAATATACGTACATGTAATAAAGTATATATATATATATATATACATATATATATGTATATACATATATATGTATATACATATATATATAAAATGTATTACATGTTCGCATATACATGTATATATATATATATATATATATATATATATGACCTACATGTAACAAATTTTATATATATATAATTTATTACATGTAGTAAAGTAAATGTACGTACATGCAATAAAGTAAATATACGTACATGCAATAAAGTAAATATACGTAGATGTAATAAAGTAAATATACGTACATGTAATAAAGTATATATACGTACATGTAATAAAGTATATATACGTACATGTAATAAATTAAATATACATACATGTAATAAAGTATATATACGTACATGTAATAAAGTATATATACGTATATGTAATAAAGTATATAAAAGTACATGTAATAAAGTATATATACGTACATGTAATAAAGTATATATACGTACATGTAATAAAGTATATATACGTATATGTAATAAAGTATATAAAAGTACATGTAATAAAGTAAATATACGTACATGTAATAAAGTAAATATACGTACATGTAATAAAGTATATATACGTACATGTGTATTTACTAGGATCCATCCTGTTCTCATTCACATCACAACATTAAAAACAGAACAAGCATTATAAAAACAAACCAAAGGAAGAAAATGGGTCTCGAGGACGAACACTCCCGTGCTCTGGACCTACGTTACACTCAGAGCTTCCAGGCATTTCTCATCATCAGGATGAAGTAGACGTCACTGTCGATGGAGGCACTAACGCCACTGTAGTAGTTGAGGAACTCCTCCTGGGTCACCTGCCAATCAGAAGAGAGACGCAGTGAGTCATCAGAGCATGGCGTCTACATCAGGCTCAGATCCTCTGGTCCTCAAGCACCTTTCCATCTTTGTCATATGGAGAGTCGAAGCTGTCCAGGAAGGTCCTGAAGACCTGCTCCTCTGTCCAGTCACCGTTCTGGTACTTGGGGTGGTACTTGGCATTGTAAACGCCCTGCAGGTCCTCGACAGTGATCACCCCATCTCCAGTTCTGTCCAGCTTCCGAAATGCCTGCATGACCACCTCCTTCCGGGCTTTGGACATGGGTGGCTGCAGGGGCCAAAGGGAGAAGTTTGCCATCCCATACCAGAGGTACGGTTTAGTCTGATCCTAGGAGATGTTGGAGTGGGCGGGGTTTGAGTGCTTACCCTTAAAGTGATGAGGAACTCATCAAAGTCGATGGTTCCGCTGCTGTCGCGGTCGAAGAGCTGAAACAGAGCAGAGGCCTCGTCCTTCTCCATCAGCAGACCGTAGTCGTTTAGACCCTTCAGGAACTCTTTGAAATCCAGAGACCGGTTCTCGTTGTCGTCCATGATCCTGAAAGTTCTGACAGCAAAAGCGGAAGTCATCCTAGATCAACAAACCTTGTGGTCACAGGAAGGTGACGAGTGTAGAGTTGATGGTTCTACACCTTAACTGAGAGGAAGTTACATTTTTACTCAAAAACAAAAATGACTATCAGCAACGCTCATCTCCCAACGAACCCGTGCGGATGTGCTCACTCGTCTGTTACGTTGTGTTGGTGATTCTATTTCGTCGTCTTTAGTTCCTCGTTGCACACGAAGGGTTTGTTTACCTTTATTGTTTCGATGGAAAGGAAGCGACGCCATCGACATCCCCAGCGGTTGCTCTGACGAAGGCGCCGGTGAACGTCGAATTGAAGTTAACGTCAAACCCGCATCGCTCTGTTCAACGACGAACCAAAGATAGTGAATCTGCTCCACCTGGTTTCCACACCTGTACAGCTCAGACACAGGTACGGATTCGGGCTGCGAGGTCAGTCCTGGCATCACCAGGTGGATAACATGGAGCAGGTGTGGAAACACGTGTGTTTAGTAGAAAAAACAACTCAGGTGGACATCATGAGCTTCAGCTTCCAGCTACAGCAGCCAATGTGTTTGACTAATCATTGAGATTTTTACTGAAGAAGCGTTTGATTTGGAGACATGGGAATGTTGACTTGATGGTAAAATGGTAAATGGCCTGTATTTGATATAGCACCTTCTAGAGTCCTGGAACCCCCCAAGGCACTTTACAACACAGTCAGTCATTCACACATTCACACACTGGTGGTGATGAGCTACGATGTAGCCACAGCTGCCCTGGGGCGCACTGACAGAGGCGAGGCTGCCGAGCACAGGCGCCACCGGTCCCTCTGACCACCACCAGCAGGCAACGTGGGTTAAGTGTCTTGCCCAAGGACACAACGACAGCGACAGACTGAGCGGGGCTCGAACCTGCAACCTTCCGATTGCGGGGCGAGCACTTAACTCCTGTGCCACCGTTGCTTTGATGGGGGCGGGGAGGGGCGGGGCCTGCTTCAGTTCTAGCTTGTGTTTGATCAGTAATCTCATTACATTACTGTTACTGCCATAATTACTCCTGAGTCAAGTTAGTTTTGAGAAGATTCCCGTCATTAAAGTCAACTAAAGCTCCTGATGAATATTAGCAGGAAGAGCTCAGCCAGCAGCGGTTGATCAACAACAAGTTGTACTTTTCATATGGAAAACTTTAAAGAGACACTTTTCAACGTTTTCATATTTTGAACTTATTTTCTTGAGCCAGTTTGTGCTAAAATGGCTTTTTACAGGTTCATGGAAGGCCAGCCCCGCCACCGCCACCCCCCGCCCTGTGTGGCCACACAATACCACATGTGTTGATCTATTGGAGCTGAGATACGTAGCGTGGCCGAGGCCGCGTGTTGGGTTAACTTTCCACCAGGACACAGGCTGGGACGGCCTGACACCAGCAGGTCCATCAGGAATGTCTCTTAACTTGTCCATCTGGGGACACGAGACTTTTTATCTGTTTCCTTTTAATAAAAGAAATCTTATATTTGTCTCATAAAAGGATTCTCTACTTTACAGCTTCAGAACAACTTCCTTTAACAATGAACGTGTCATCAGAGGTGACCTGGCTGCACCACGGTAATGAATGAATCCACATAAATGTCTATTCTTGTACTTATTAGATCTTAAGTTACACTGAATGAGTCTACTTGTTGAATTTAATAATTAATTATTTATCAGTACATTCACATATTAATATTTGTATATTATTATGAATGTTTACCTTATTTACTAAAAGCTCTCTAAGTGAGGAATGAGGTGGTGTCTGAGGGACTTTGGTAAATGCCCACATTAAACTTGTGATCTCTGATTTGTCCAGATTGGTAAACAATAGTTATTAAAGAGTCGACACATCCTCTAAAGTCAGTCCTGCCATCTGCTCAGCCGGCCAAGCTGAGTCAGTAAAGCATAAGGAACCATCCTTCAAGGTCCAACTTCTTTGCCAGACTGTAAAGCTCCATCAGATGTAGAACTTCATCTGACCACCAGCATTCACCCCGAGGGTATCTCACTGTATTCCAGGTGGACCTACGAGCTTCAAACACCAGAGAAGTCAATTCCATCGGCAGCCTGTTGGTACTGACTTCTCCGGCCCCTGGATCACCGAGAGCCTTCCCTACAGGGGTTGGTAGATCTGCACCACGGCGTGGGACGGTTTTATTAATGATGGTGTGTGAAACCATACCATACCATACCAATTTTATTTATATAGCACATTTAAACACGGCATGAGAGCCGACCAAAGTGCTGAACAAAAACACACAATAAAAACAATCAAAAATAAAAACTAAATCTATTAAAATCAAGTAATCCAACTCAAAAAGAAAAGGAGAAAGGGAATAAGTTATACTGAATTAAAAGCCAGAGAATAAAAGTGAGTTTTTAAACGAGACTTAAAAAGGGAAAGAGAGGAAGAGAGTCTGATCGGGAGGGGCAAGTGGTTCCAGAGCTTCGGTGCACAAACTGAAAAGGCGCGCTCCCCGCGGGACTTACAGCGAGAGCTAGGGACATGTAGGAGGTGTTGGTCAGCTGATGGGAGGGATCTTGTAGGGACATATGGGTGAATGAGCTCAGACAAGTAGCCAGGTGCTAAGTTATTGAGGGATTTAAACACAAAAACCAGGATCTTAAACTCTATCCGGAGATGGATGGGGAGCCAATGGAGACTAGCTAAAACCGGTGTGATGTGTTCCCGCTGCCTGGTGCCAGTCAAGAAACGAGCTGCTGCGTTCTGCACAAGCTGAAGTCGAGCGAGAGTGGAGGAGGAGATACCATATAGCACTGAGTTAGAGTAGTCTAGATGGGAAGTAATGAATGCATGGACAACTGAATGGAGATGACGCCTTTTTAAAATGGGCTTAACTTTAGAGAGACGCCTCAGGTGGTAATAACAGGTCTTAACTACCTGGTTGACATGAATGTCCATTTTTAGTTTAGCATCCATCACGACCCCTAAGTTTGTGACACGGTTTTTCAACCCACTTGTGATAAATGGAAGGGTCAGTTGGGGACTTTGAGAAGTCAGGGCTGAAAATGATGGCCTCTGTCTTAGCGTCGTTCAGCAAAAGAAAGTTTTCTGACAGCCAGCTCTTCACATCATTGCAGCATTCAACAAGGGGCTGTAAGGAGTCATTAGGCTTCACAGAGGCATATAATTGGCAATCGTCTGCATAAAAATGGTAATCAATGTGGTGTTTTTTAAAAATGTCACCCAGGGGCAAAATATATAAATTAAATAAAAGGGGTCCAAGAATAGAGCCCTGAGGAACACCACAAGTCAAAGCTGCAGAGGGGGAGGCAGCACTACCCATCATAACATTAAAGGTGCGGTCACAGAAGTAGGACCTAAACCAATCTAAGGCAGTCCCCTGAATGCCAACCAGCTGGTTCAGCCGAGTCAGCAGAATAGCGTGATCAACCGTATCGAAAGCAGCCGATAGATCCAACAAAACCAGCAATACATTAGAACCAGAGTCAAGGGTTAATAAAATGTAATTAAAAACACGAAGATGAGCTGACTCCGTGCTATGGAGACAGACAGTCAGCCTGATTTTATAACCAGGCATCACAAGTTTCTAAGACACTTACTCAGGTTCTGCTACATAACATCTAAGCTTACATCCCGTCATCTCATTCATTGTCTCAGTTAGCTATGGAGGTATGTTTGGTGCAATAACATTTTTGCTTTGTTCCTGGGAACTTGAAGTCACGGAGAAAAATTCTGAAAAATCCTCTTTCACAGGAACAAACAACAGCTGCACCTATTCCAGATGTTGGGTACGAGTACACAAAATGCATTCTTTGAGTCGCACATTAAAAAAATCTTACAGTTAATTTTGCCCCAATTGATCCACAATATCTGGTGCAAAAACATTTGCGTCTCAACTCTGGGAACTTGAAATCACGGAGAAAATCCAGAAAAAATATACTTTTCAAAGGTACAAAACAGCAGCTTCACCTATTCAAAACGTTTGTTACACGTACAAAAATCGTAATTGTTTAGTCGCACATCAAAAAACGTTGTTCAGTTGCAGTTTTGCCCCAGTTGAGCCAAAACAAATGGTGCAAAACACATCCGCATACTTGTGTATGAAAGGAATAACTTGTGCCTTCTTTACTGGCACTCACAAACACAAAACTACCGTCACACTACACGTGTTATAACTCATTTATAATCACACATTTTAAAACTCAAGGACACCTTACAGCTAAAGCTGACATTAAAAACAGAAACAGAGGTTGATAGAGCTATAAGAGCAAATAAGATACAGAAGAATTCGAACATTTTAAGATCCAAGTCTAAAGGGAATAGGGTTGCTCGAATACGTGAGTTTGGAGGTGTGCTTCGAATAATGTAAATGAGTCAGTGTTTCTAATGGCAGAGAGGAGTGTGATCCAGAGCCGCGGAGCAGAGCAACTGAAAGCTCTTCTCCCCACGGCGGTAAGGCGAGCTCGAGGTTGAACCAGGTGAAGTGCGGATGAGGATCTAAGAGACCGGGAAGTGGTTGCAATAGTTCATAAATCACACAAATAAAGTTGGGCCATGCTATGGATAGATTTAAACGTGAGTTTTAGGATCTTGTATATGACTCTGGTTTCTATTGGCAACCAGTGTAGTTTTTTAAGAATAGGAGTGATGTGATTTCTTGAGGGGGTCCCAGTAGTGATGCGTGCTGCAGAGTTCTGGAGAAGTTGGAGTTTATGAAGGGATTTAGTCGGGAGACCAAACAGAAGGGCGTTACGATAGTCGATGCAAGAAGTGATGAGGCTGTGAACGAGGATTGCAGCAGCATGAGGCGTGAGTTTGTTGATATTGCAAAGGTGGAAATATGCGGCCCGAGTAACGCGGTTAATGTGAGATTTGAATGAAAGTGTACCATCTAGTAAGACACCAAGACTTTCTACCTGTAGAGATGGGTGAACAGTGCAGTTGTCAATATTGATAGAGGGATTGGGAGCATTGTTTAAAACCGAAGC